GAGCACAGTGGACAGCTCACAGTGCTCTGGACTCACAGGCTGGTCCTCCGCATCCACTGAGCACCAGGCAGAAGGATGAGGGATCCGGAAGTCACAGGTATAGTTCTGCAGACAACCCCTCAGCGTTCATTATTGGAGAATCCAGAGTATAAGGAGAGGAGAGACAAAAGGGGAGGGGATGGAGTCCAGGGAAACTGGAAGGAGAGAGAGCAGGAGTGACAAAGGCTTTTAAATACGCTGTGTTGTTTCCTTTAGGAGAAAGACTAGCCGTATAGAGTTGCATCACCTCCTTTAACTAAGAGGAGAGACATAAATGAATATATTTGAGCTGATAAGGAAAATATTAACTTGGCTCTGTTCAAAACTCTAGCAAAACTCATCTATAGACAACTGGGGAAGAAAATGAAAAATAATAGAAATAAAAAAGCAAAACAAGCCAGGTGGTGGTGGTACATGCCTTTAATCCCAGCACTTGGGATGGATGCAGGGTCAGGAGGATCTCTGTGAGTTTGAGGCCAACCTGGTCTACAGAGTGAGTTCCAGGACAGGATCCAAGCAAAACAGAGAAACCTGTGTCAAAAATACAAAACAAACAAATAAATGAATAACAGGAAAAAAAAAAGACACAAGTAATCAAAGTCCCTTTCTGATTTTAAAACCCGGCCCTAGATTTAGAGTCCCATGGCAGTAAAGACTCAAAGACAGGGGACAGCACCTCCTGGAAGGCCTACAGCTGAGCAAAGAGAATTTCTGCTGTGTCAGCAAGTGGAATCTCAGAATTTCCAATCACACCTTCTCCTGATTCTCCGTCTGTTGTTGTGATAAAGCAGGAAGGCACTCCTCAGCAATCTTGGGTCTTTAAAACCCCGTTATGACAGTGAAGACTTTCACAGAATAAAGAGCAAACAAAACCCTCCATTAGCACCTAACAAACCACAGCATCAGGCTTCCCTTCCAGGACTGTTCTTCCTACTCTCTCTTCTCTAAAAAGTACATTCTCCCTATCCCTTCCCAATGACAAGTCAGGCAGGACCCTCTAAAGAAGAAGGAAGTGCTAAGGCAGCACCCCGCAGACAGGGTCAGGGAACAATCCTCATGCCTGTTTCTCTTCGGGACAGCTCTGCAAACTGCAGTGTAACCTGGAGACCTGTTCCTGCAAAGGTAGGGTCAGCTGCCGCCTGCATCCTGAGTTTGCAGTGTTGAATGTTCCTAGAAGAAGAGACAGGAGGTGGGAAAGACCCGTCTTTTAAAAGGGAAGTTAGTGAATGTCACAGAGGATGCTCTCAGTGGCTGCAGCTGAGGACATATCCTACCAGGACCCCAAGGGTCTGCCAATACTGCTGCCTGAACACTAATACAGACAATCCTCTTAACCACTGAGCCATCTCTTTAGCCCCAACTTTTGCTTGCTTACTTACTTATTGGGGGAACACATTCTTCTGTGTGCTGCCTAAGTCAGAGGACAGCTTGCAGGTATAGATTCTTTGTATCTGTGGGTCCTAGGGATCAACTCAGGTATCGGGGTTGGCAGCAAGCCCCTCTACCCACTGAGCAATCTTGTTAACACCAAGGATTTTATCCACAGTAGAATAAATTTTAATGGAGCTGATAAGTATTGGATTCTTGATTGCTGTGTTCCTACAACAAAGTCATAAGCCAAATCAAACTGGACTAATAAATCCAGATTTAATAAACAGTGCAGAATGAAGCAACTCACGGGTGACTCTCAGGAAAGCAGCAAAGACAGCAAGAGAGTGTGTGGCAGATCTATGGGTGGTTCTTGGGCATTTCCAGGGGAGGAGTTGCCAGGTGCTAAGCTTTCTCAGGTGCCCAGCTATCTCAGGGGGCAGGCTCTGGAATGGGAGAAGTGAGGTTGGGTGGGGCTTCCCAACAGGGCTTCATTTATCTTCCCCTCAAGTTCCTGACATCTTGATAGTCAGTAACTGTAATAAGAGATTCTGGAAAATATAACAATACTATGAAATAGCATATAATTTTTTACTTTTGAGCAGAATCACAAGAGATTTGAGCCACTTTATTTAAATTTTCTGATTTATAACCTGCCTTTCCTGATTTGTTTGCATCAGTATAGAATGTGGGGCTCCAGGGATTGGTGTTTCCCATACAATGTGAGCAAGGACACACTTAGTTCTCAGTATAAATTGAATTCTTTTGCTTTTGTGATATTTGTTGTTAATCTCTCGAAAAAATACTGCAAGCTCTTTGTCAATGTTCATTTTCTGCCCATAAAGAGGAAATTTCTTCATTATTAACAAAACTGCCATTTCAGCTGGGTCTATTCCCACTGATTGATGAAATCTCAGGTTTTTTTTTATTTAATAAACTCAGAAACGTTCTTCTATGTAGGTCTTTAATTTTTACTCTGCTTTTGTGGTAAAAGTATTCATTCTAAGATATTATCTTCTTTCTGCATTAAAATTCCCATAGGAAAATGTGTAGAGGGTAAAATGACCAGGACACAATCTAGTTCTGGATTCAAAAAATTCATTTGTGCATCCTGTAACTTCTTTTCTACCAAAATTAATTCTCCCTAAGCCTCAGATGATAATATTCTTGAACTATTTAAGTCCTTGTCACCTTGTAAGGATTGAATTAAATTACTTAATTCTTGAGTTGTCAATCCAATTGTAGGCTGTAGCCAGTTAATGGTTCCCAGCAATTTTAGAAAGTCATTCAGAGTCCATGATTGATCTCTGCTGGTTTGTACCTTCTGGGGTTAATTTTTTGTAAACCTATTTTATATCCTAGGTAATTAATAGAAATCCATCTTGTGTATATTTTCAGACGCAACTAATATTCCCCAACAAGGCCAAATGTTCTTTACTTCTGCAAAGATTTTCTATAAGTATCTACATTTCAATCAGCTAGTAATATATTGTCCATATAATGGTAAATTATACATTGGGGAAACTTTACACGAATGATTTCCAACAATGTCATACAAAATATTGGCACATGGTGGGCTGATTAACATTCCTTGAGGGAGGATCTTCCACTGATATCTCTTAAGAGAATGAGAGGTATAAGTAGGCACAGTGAAGGCAATTTTTCCCCAGTCCTTTTCCTGTAAAGGTACAGTGAAGAAACAGATTTTTAAATAAATAAACATAATAGACCAGCTTTTAGATAATAGAGAACACAGGGGAATTCCAGGCTGCAGAGAGGCCAATGGCTAAATTATTTTATTTATGGATCTCAAATTTGTTAACATTCTCCATTTTCCAGAATTCTTTTTAATAACAAATACATGAGAATGCCAAGGTGTGATCAATTCTTCAATATGTTGAGCATTCAGCTATTCCTGTACCAGCTGTTCTAAGGCCTGTAATTTTTCTGATGTTGAAAGCCACTGTTCCACCAGAAAGGTTTGTCATTTGACCATTTAAAGGTGGGGCTGTTGGTACCTTTGAAAGGTCAGCAGCTGTTGTGCTCTGTCCTTCTACATGAATGGCTGGGGACTGTTCTTTATAAAACCTTTAGTATTTTCCCCAGACACATGTTAGTTTATGATTTGCTTCTGGGATTGGAGGAATGTTAATCTGGGTATTCCATTGCTGTAACAAATCATATCTGCATAAATTCATTGCTATATTAGACACATATGGCTTTAATTTTCCTCTCTGTCCTGCAGGCCCTATACATTCAACACATCTTGGACTTTGTTTTACCTGAGATAAAGTTACAATTCCCAAAAGCTGAACATTTACCTCCTGAAGAGGCCAATTTAGATGCAAATATTCTGTTGTATTTATTGTTACCCTGGGTCTATACGACCTTCAATTAAAATCTCATTTCTGCATAGTTTTAGCTTTGGTCTATGATAATTTATAGAAGTTTGACAAAATATTTACATTACGTTTTCTCCTGAAATATTTTTTTTATCTTCTAAAGCTGTTCTATCATCCAGAGAAGTATCTTTTTTTTTTTTCAATAACATTAGATCCGTTAATTGCTCTGAGGAGGAGTTTCCCCCATGATGACAGAAAATGACTGAACCAACATAGACATGGAGGCCTATGAAAGCCCCCCACCTAGGCAATTCCCAATGAAAAAGAGTTAAGGCGTCTGTTCCTTGTTGATCTGCATTCATTTTGTTTGGCATAGAAGAAACACTGCTTCTAGGAATACCATGTCTACAATTCCTTTTAGATGACCTTGTTTGCCACAATTAAAACAGTTGACAGTTTGATTTTTCTTCAAGCCTGTTGAAGTCACCTTTCCTATCCATGCATCATATATAGTCATATACATAGTCAATATTCAATCATATATATATATATATATCAAAACCATTCCTCTATGGGTGCTGATCTTACATTTAATGCCCTAATTATCTTTGGCATTTTGAATTAGCAATTTCAAAAACCAAAGACTCAGTTATTATTTTTCTACCTTCTGAATTTGGTATCATTCTATTTACAGATGAACTAAATCTTTCCTAAAAGAAAGAAAGAGAAAGAAAGAAAGAAAGAAAGAAAGAAAGAAAGAAAGAAAGAAAGAAAGAAAAGAAAAGATTAGTGAAGGTTTCTTTTGGGCCCTGTTTCACTTTATTAAATGAGTCCATTCTCTTGGACTCCTTTAATTCTTTCCCATGCATTCAAAGCTGTTGAATGAAATAGAGCCAGAGTATGATCATCATATAAAGACTGACTGTGTACATCAGCATAATTTCCCTCTCCAAGAGGTCAGTCATGGGAAATGTCAATACCTGTAGTCCTACTTCATTGTTGAAAGGTCCTAGCCTCATCTTTCCACCAGGCCCTCCACTGCAATTGAGGACCAGGTTCCAATACTGCTGTACCTGAGTCTTTCCAGTCTTGTGGAACAATTCAGTTACTAGTTGAGCATGAATTTAACATTTGCTTCAAAAAAGGCGAATTTGCACCATATGAGATTATCACTTCCTTAAATCTCCTGAAATCTAACATTTCCATAGGATTCCAGTGAGTTCTTAAACAGTCCTGGGGATGCATGTCATTTGGGAGTTGTTCCCATAAGGTGAATGAATGAATTAAGGTTAGTTGTTTGACAAACTTGAGCTGTTCCTTTAATTGTAAAACTTTAATGAATAGGTTGGTTGTCAATTAAATACTTCTGCCTTTGTTGAATATATTATCTGTTCTAGTTAAGTTTGGGATTGTAACTTATCCGTCAAAATGGCAATATATTCTCCAGTAACTGCTATAGTTACTATAGTAACTATACTATAGTATAGTTATAGTAACTAGTACTATAGTTCTAGAGGAAGGCGTATCTCTTTGTACTCATAGCCACTGACTTGGCCTTCATAACAACCAATATTTTAGGATTAAAATAAGAATTACCAAATCAATAATGTTTATAACTGCGGTTGGCAGAAGAGGATGTCAGATCCCCTGGAGTTAGATTTTCAGGCTGTTGTGAGATTAGAGTACTGAGAACCTACTTGAGTCATCTACAAGAGGAGTATGTGCTCTTACGTGCTGGGCCATCTCTTCAGCGTAAGAAACAAAATTATCATAAATATCCAGTAAGATTTGTCCAAATTCAGTTTGTTTTCCCCTGCTCAGGGTACAGAAATCTTTACTGCAGGAATTGTGTTTAGAGAATATCTGTATATAATTCTACCTTGCCAGCTCCCTCTGTCCGTCTTCCCACTGCTTTGGACTACGGAGCCCTACCCATTGTCCGTCTTCACAAGACACGCCTTCATCTCTGTGCTAGGTCCCTGTTGACATGCCCACTCACCTGACACCAAGGAGTCGCTAAAAGCTTCTGCCTGGAAAGGCTGGATGGCTCCTTAACCGTGGAGCCTGAAGAACGAACATTCTGGATGCAGATTCAGCAGTAGCTGCCTTTCCCCTTCTTTCCCCATAGCATGTTTCCAGAGAAGCCTCCAGTGTCTGAAGCAGCCAGGGATGGAAATGGACAGCAACAGCTCCTCTGGGAGCTTCATTCTGATGGGTTTATCTGAGCATCCCCAGCTGGAGAGGGTCTTTTCTGTAGCCATCCTCTTCTCCTACTTGTTGACCCTGGTTGGGAATTCAACCATCATCCTGCTTTCCCGTCTTGATGCCCGGCTCCACACACCCATGTACTTCTTCCTCAGCAACCTCTCTTCCCTGGACCTGGCCTTTACAACCAGTTCAGTCCCCCAAATGCTGAAAAATCTATGGGGGCCAGACAAGACCATCAGCTATGGTGGATGTGTAACTCAGCTCTATGTTTTCCTTTGGCTGGGGGCCACAGAGGGCATATTGCTCGTCATGATGGCAATTGACCGATTTGTGGCAGTTTGCTGGCCCCTGCACTACATGACTGTCATGAATCCACGGCTCTGCTGGCTGCTGGCTGCTGTAGGCTGGCTGAGTGGTTTAGGCAACTCAGTCATTCAGTCAACTTTCACACTGCAGCTACCATTTTGTGGACACCGGAAGATAGACAACTTCCTGTGTGAGGTGCCCGCCATGATTAAATTGGCCTGTGGAGACACAAGTCTCAATGAGGCTGTGCTAAATGGTGTCTGTACTTTCTTCACTGTTGTCCCACTGAGCATCATCCTGACCTCCTACTGCTTCATTGCTCAGGCAGTGATGAAGATCCACTCTGTGGAGGGACGACGGAAGGCATTCAATACTTGCCTCTCCCATTTGGTAGTGGTCTTCATCTTCTATGACTCAGCTATCTATGGGTATCTGCTTCCAGCTAAGAGCAGTAATCAGGACCAAGGGAAATTCATTTCTCTCTTCTACTGTGTGGTTGCACCCATGTTGAATCCCCTCATCTATACTCTGAGGAACAAAGAAGTGAAGGGGGCACTGGGAAGGTTGCTGCAGAAAGGAAGAGAAGCCAGATGAGGAAAGAGCCATCTTCATTTTGTACTGCCTCTTCTGTGCATTCTCTTCCTTATTTGAAGCTTTGTCCTCAGTGAAGTCAAGGCATGTTCCTGACAGACTACACTTTAGGAAGATGGTTAGTCTCATTGAGACATTCTGTTTATTTGCCGCAGTCAACAGGGTACATATGGAGGTTATTGCCCTAGCACAGACCTGTCTCGCTGTCTCTGTCTCTGATGTCCATGCTAGTTATTATGACATATTTCTACAGAATTTTTACTTTCTAAGAAAAATGAAGTTTCTTGTGTAATTTTACTATAATTTCATGAATTCAAGTCCTGCATTATCAACTTCAGATGAAAACAGAATTCATCTTTATGTCTTAGCCATCCATCATCTTGGTCCAATTCTCTGTCTAGTCTCAAACTACAGGCTAACTGTTCTTCCTCTCCATTCTGTCACCTGATTGTCCCCTTCGGTATGTGCACATAAAATTTACCTTCTACCTAATGTAATAATTAATGAGAAAACTTCGGCAAAACTACTTGCCTTTCAATGCTAGCCCATGTACCTTGATTTGGCTTCATTTAAATCATTCCAACTAACAGCGAGAGCCATCAGGTTTGCTACCCATCTGCTCAGTGAAGGTCAGAAAAGCAAAACAGCCAGCAAACTAATGTGGCTACTGGGATTAAAGGTGTGTGTCACCACTGCCTGGTCTGTAAGGCTGACCAGTGTGGCTATTTTACTCTCTGAACTTCAGGCAAAATTTTTTATAAAAATACAAATGAAATGCCACTACACCACAGGACGTGGTTTGAGTCCCAGCATTCTCACGGTGGCTCGCAACTGTCTTTAACTCCTGTTTCATGGGATTCAATGCCTTCTTCTGGCCTTCAAAGGCACTAGGCATAGATGTGGTGCAGAGACATACGTGCAGACAAAACACCCGAGTACATAAAACGTAATTAATTAAGTAAAAAAGAAATTCTCAGCTGAGTGATTTTTAGGATACACTTTTAATCCTAGCAGTTGGGAGGCAGATGCAGGTGAATCTCTGGGGTCAAGGCCAGTCTGGGGTACAGAGCCAGTTCCAGGACCGCTATGGCTGCATAGAGAAATCCTGTCTTGAAAAAACAAAAGAAATCGATCAATCCATCCTGAAGAAAGAAATTATTATAAGAAAATAAAATGATTGCAGCTGTGTCTACAGTTCAGTGACATAATAGAACACTTGCCTGGAATACATGAGGTTTGGGATCATGCAAATCAAAACAACTCTGAGATACCATCTAATACCTGAATGAATAGCTAAGATCAAAAACACCAATGATAGCTTATGCTGAAGAGGATGGGAGTAAGGGGAGCACTCATCCATTGCTGGTGGGAATGCAAACTTGTGCAACCACTTTGGAAATCAGTATGGCGGTTTTTCAGAAAATTGGGAATAAACCTACCTCAGGATCCAGCAATACCACTCTTGGGCATATACCCAAAAGATGCTCAATCATACTTAAGGACATTTGCTCAATTATGTTCATAGCAGCATTATTTGTAATAGCCAGAACCTGGAAAAAACCTAGATGCCCCTCACTGAAGAATGGATAAAGAAAATGTTTCACATTTACACATTAGAGTACTACTCAGTGGTTAAAAACAATGACATCTTGAATTTTGCATGCAAATGATAGAATTAGTAAGCTCTTTCCTGAATGTGGTAACCCAGACCCCAAAAGATGTGGTATGTACTCAGTCATAAGTGGATACTAGCTACAAACAAAGGATATTGAGTCTATAGTTCATGATCCTAGAGAAGCTAAGTAATAAAGTGAAANGCTGATTGCCAGGGGGACCACCTGGGGCTTCGCTCCAAGAAGCTCTAACCCCAATCCTTCAGCAGGCAAAAGCCAGCGCAGAGGCATTTTGTCACTACACGGCAGTCACTGCTGTGGACGTGGCAGGGTAATCCATCCAGAATTCATGTCCTCTGCTTCAAGATTTTTTTGTCTTCTAGTAACACTGTTCCAGGAAATCAGCAATTGGTTTAGGACAAAACTTATCTCAAGGAACTAGGATATTGGAATCATAACACCCATATGGTTCTTCCCATGGCTAGATTGGCCAAAAAAATGCTCATCTGCCACCAGAGTTCACAAACCCTGTGCCCAGACAGAAACCAGGATAATATAAAACAATCGTTTAGCATTACCAGAAAAAGGAGACAAATAGGTTTCAGAAGATATTTCAAAGCATCTTCTGCTCTGTTTCCATATCTGAATCACATACCTGTCACAAAGTAGATGCTCATTAGTGCTTAGTGAGGGGAATTATATTAAGTGCTCTCAATCTCCTTTTTATGTTAAGAACTAAACATTACTCGCAGATCATTTTCACATTTTCTGGTGTGGGTTATCTGTCCTTCAGATGTACTGAAACAAACAGTGACACATTTCTTCTTCCACATTTTCATAATTGCCCTGAAGAAACTAACTATATTATCCTGTCCTGAATTTGTTTCTCTAGTTAAGATTAAAGCCACTGCCTGATATTTCAGTCTTCTCCATAGCAATAGTCAGGATGTCTCCTGCATCAGCCAATTCATATTATTTTGGTGATTTTATCAAACCATATCATCTGAAAGGCACAAAATATTAATCAGCATACTCGATCAGATTAAGGTCTCAGAGACAAGTTTACGGTGCCCAAACTCCTAGGAAGTAGAATTCAGCTGAGCCATGGAAGTAATAGCACTAAGGAGATGGGGAGTCATGTCCCCTGGTTAATTCATTTGAGTTTTGAAATACCCACAACAAATATAGGGAGAAAACAAAGTTTATTTTGGAAGAACTACTGTTTCTTATAGGAAAGAACAATGTGGTGGTTTGAAAGAAAAAAATGGCTCCCAAAGGAAGAGGCCCTATTAGGAAGTGTGGCCTTGGTGGAGCAGGAATGTAACTGTGGGAGTGGACTTTGAGGTCTCTTTTGGTCAAGCTTCCCTCAGTGTGACAGTCAGTTGACTTCCTGCTGACATCAGGTCAAGATGTGGCACTTTCTGCTCCAGCACATCTGCCTGCATGACGCCAGACTCCCTGTCATGATGACAATGGACTAAACCTCTGAACTATAAGGGAGTCACCCCAAGTAAATACTTTCTTTATAAGAGTTACCGTGGTCATGGTGTCTCTTTACTGCAATTAAAACCCTAACTAAAAAGATAAAAGAAATACAGGGAGAAAATATAGCTATTCTTTAAAGGGTTCAGAGTTCTGCAAAACTTCCTTCTGAAAAGGATGGGGCCCTTAAATCTGACATAGAGCTAGAAGAATAGAAAAGCACAGGACAGGGGAAGAAAAACTTAACTGGTTATAATTGGGAAGTAAGGGCATCACGGGTCTCTGTTGTAAAGAATCCCTAATGATTTTGTCCCTTTTGTTGTTGTTTTGAGATAGGGTTTCACACTGTAGGTCAGGCTGGCCTTAAGCTCACTGGAATCCTCCTGCCTCAGCCTTCAAAATGCATGGATTAAAGGTGTCCTCAGTTATGACAAGTTGTTTTTCTCCTTTTAACAATGAGTGAGGACCAAATCTGATCATGTTTCACTGCCCAATGCACGAAATTATTACCAGGGGCTGGAGAGATGGCTCAGCAGCTAAGGGGCTGCCCTTCCAGAGTATCGCACAATTAATAAAATCCCAGAGACAATAGGGGTTCAACCTGTTGAGAAAAGCAAAACAGCCAGCAACTGTCTCTTACCTCTATCTCAGTCTAAATGACAATCCTGCCTCCAGTAATCTCAGAGTGAGACAGTGTCTGAGAGCTGTCTCCTCCAGTCTTATATTCCTCTCTAGGACTGGGATTAAAGATGTGCACTACTACTGCCCAGTTTCTATGGCAAACTAATGTAGCTACTGGGATTAAAGGTGTGTGTTACCACTGCCTGGTCTGTAAGGCTGACCAGTGTGGCTGTTTTACTCTCTGAACTTCAGGCAAACTTTATTTATGAAAATACAAATAAAATGCCACTATACCCGAGGACCTGGTTTGATTCCCAGCATCCACACAGTGGCTCACAAGTGTCTTTAACCCCAGTTTCAGGGGATTCAATGCCTTCTTCTGGCCTCCAAAGGCACTAGGCATAGATGTGGTGCAGAGACATAAGTGTAGACAAAACACCCGCGTACATAAAACGTAATTAATTAAGTAAAAAAGAAATTGCCAGCTGAGTGGTGGTTAGGACACTCTTTTAATCCTAGCAGTTTGGAGGCAGATGTAGGTGAATCTCTGGATTCAAGGTCAGTCTAAAGTACAGAGTTAGTTCCAGGATATCTATGGCTGCACAGAGAAACCCTGTCTTGAAAAACCAAAAGAAATCAATCAATCCTAAAGAAAAAAATATTATAAGAAAATAAATTGATTGTAGCTGGGTCTTCTGCAAAAATAGCAACCACACAAAATCATTTCTCCAACTTCCATTTTGCTTTTAAAAAAACAAAGGAAAAAAGGAAAGAATGAAGAAAGAAAGAAGAAAGAAAAGGAAGGAAGGAAGGAAGGAAGGAAGGAAGGAAGGAAGGAAGGAAGGAAGGAAAGAAGGTCATGTATTCCAGGCTAGCCTTGGAATCACTATGTGTTTGAGGATGGCCTTGAACATTGATTCTCCCATCTCTACCGACCAAGTAAAGGCATAAACCAGAGCTGTGTTTCCAGCCCCTCTGCTAATTTTTAGGTTAAATTGTCATTTAACATGTTAAGGGAAATACTTTCTGGATATTAAACCGTAACTTGCACATGAATATGTAAGCAGTCACTTCTATAGTCATGTCTTTTTTTTTTTTTTGGTAGTCATGTCTTTTTAAATTTAGTTTTGGTTGCATTTATTTGTTTATGTGTGGAGGACATAGGACAGCTTGAAGGAGCTGACTCTCTCCTTCCGGCATGCAGGTACAGGGTATCGAACTCATGGCATAAAGCTTCTGCGGCAAGCACGTTCACCCCCTGAACCATTTCACCAGCCAACATTCATATTCTCTCTCTCTC